TGATTGTAACAAAGCCATAAGATGACGATACCATTGCGGGTGATTTAGACTGAACTTCAAACAGAACCTAGTTGACATCAACAACATGTACATTCAGTTATTTAAAATCACCAAATGCATATATTTGTCTATCTTAACTAATCTTATTATATGGGCAAGTAAGAGGTTTGAATAATTATAAACGCATATAAAGTTATATAGCAAATTTTACACACATTTCAACTTAAATCTCACTATTTCAAATTTATTATACATAATAATATTCGAAAAATTATAGATTCAAATTTCTTGCCAATCTTTAAGTATGTAAATTTAATTTACAAAACCGATAGGCTAATCTGTAGCGGATTGCTACGCTAGTAAAGCCTGACTCAGAAATCTCCGTGACAGATTCTCCAACATCTGGCTAGACTCCCAGAACCAGCTAAGCTATAGCCCAGCTATGAAGGAAACAGACATACAGCACGGAACACATTCACTCAGTAAGCATCTTGTGAGCAAAGTGTACACACAGGGAGCTTAATCATGATCAGGATAGCGGATTAGGTTAAACAAACGGAGGCTACTGATTGGCCGCTGTTTGTTCGTCCGCACCTCCCAATCCTGGCGTGCAGGCATGCGATGACGCACAGGCCCCATTAAACCAATCACTTCAATGGCTTTTAAGATCTTGACAAAGTGAATGAATAGGGAAAGTATTTGGGTTAATATATTAATAAAACTAAAGGCTGAAATTTTCGTAACGGTTAACGAGCCCTCCAACTCTATTTTATGAAAAATCTTACACAAGGTTAAGTGTTGAAAAGCATATTTCGTGACTATGACAGCTCTCATTGAAATTTTTTAATTGAATAGATATTAGATCAGAGTCATATGCTGCTAAGAACTAGCCATTGGCAAATAGGCATGACATAAACATGCCAACTACAATCGATTGGTATATTTTAAAATTAAGCCGTGCAAAGTATTTTATTATTTTTATGCCAACAAACTAACAACGGATTTTAAGCAAAATAGTGAAGTGATTGACGAATACTAAGTTAGACACTGTCTGGCTTAGTTTTCTCATCCGTTTGAACTTCTGAAGGCTGAATTTCTGTTGACTGAGCAACTTCCTGGTTGCCGGTGTTTATGACGTTGGTTTGTTCATTGGCTGCAGGTCCGTTAACCTAAAATATTTTTAAATAGTGGTTTATCAAGCATAATTGGGAGAATTTTGTGAACGATAACTATTATTATTTGCTGATTAAGAACCAGTTACCTTGATAAGTGCACTTCAAATCAGGGTGTAATTTAAATAAATTGGGCTTTAAAATATTTGTAAATAAAAGTTCTTTGCATTCTATGTAATTAAGGATCATATTAAATGGACAAAATATAAGAGGTAAGGTTAAAATCACACTAAGCATAGCCAAAAATGAAGAGAAAGTCCTCCGTGCGATGAAATAACTAATGAATTTCAGAATATGCAGATCACATTATGAAACTATTTTAGAACATTTTGAAGTGTTTATATTTAAGTAATTATCCAAGTATATATATATATATATATATATATTCCATATGCACGATATTAAGATAGCTACAATGGTTTGGGAAATTAGCTGAATATCTACTTACGGGTTGTACTTGAGACACTGGATAAAAGGCAGAAGTTGGCTGATTTATTGATGGCATGTAGGAAAAAACCGTTTGATGAATATCTTGACTGCCTTGGCTTTGTTGCAGTTGTAAGTCTAAAATAAATTATGCTTATATAGATCGCAGATGGTGACCTTCCAAAATAGTCCCAACAAAAGCGCTTCCTTACATCAGTGAGGAATTTGAGTACTTCAGGTGTACACCTTGGAGCTAACTAATAGGATGAAATATTGGAAGGGCACGTCATAAAATGTCTTCATTTTGGGAATATTTACGATACCATTTCAGGTAAAATATAGTTTTTTTTCGCAATGATTGCATACCACCCTTTCTAAGACCCTACGTTAGTTGTGCCTCCCATATTTAACGATTATGCTCTTTACACCTTTTCATGAGCAATAATAATAATAATAACGCTAAAAAATAACATCTCATATGGTGAATATTCTCTTACTATGGTAAAATAATTGATTAAGGTATTCCATGTTCAATTGGTGGGGAACTACGGTTGGTGCTACCATTGGTTGCGGTTGTACAACTGGTGGATAATATACTGGTTGAGGGTTGAAACTTGCCAAGGGTTGGTAAACTATTGGTACAAAAGGAGCATTGGGCACAAAGCAAGGTTGTCCAGTGGGTATGGGTGCATTCAAAGAATTAATTGTGGGTTCTCCAAATGAAACTGGATCTGTACCCACACTTCGCAATTCTTTGCTCTTCGGTTTATCATGAGTCTCTGCAAATTACAGGAAAGCACAAGCTTTATTAAAGTAAAATAGGAGTAAGTTGAGTATTTTCTTTCTCTTTAATATCTTAAACACAATTTTATTTTATAGTAATCATTGGCAAACTGTAACATACTATACATCGTCAATTTGTTACCTTTATAATATAATCAAGGACAATATTAATAGTAAATGGCCTAAAAATTCATTAATTCCCTATTTTTATTAAGACCCTACTATCTCTTAATAACTGGAGTAATGACATATTGCTTAATGATTTAATAATTAAAAAATATAAAACAAAAACTTTAGAATATCAAGCAAACCACCTTGAAATAGTTTATCGTCCTTTTCATTTGACTTCTCCTTTTCTATGACTTTTCCCAGTAAGGCCGATTTAGCCACAATCTAAATTTGCATGCTGTAAAACAATCTTAATACAAACTATTCATACCAATGCTTGTTTAAATTTAAAGAAACGAATTTTGAGAATATAGTTGGCAGCGGCTTCGGTTTCAAAAATTATATATCCTTGACCCCCTAAATATGTGCAAATTAATTAAAAATCATAAAGTTATGATGAACGTACGTTGAATTCTCTCCGTTACTGTGTTCACATTAAAATCAACCCCTTCCACCTACAAAAAATATATCACAACAACTTCGCTCATTTTTTTCTCTGTTGGTCGGATTTTGAAGTAAATATTGTGGCTTATATAGAAAATCGTTTTTCTGAATGTCAATAAAGGTGCAAAACAATTTGTATGCAACAGTAAAGCCGCAAATTCCTCCACAAACAATATTTGCGGTGACTCTTATTCATTTTGCATGCAGTTTACAGTGCAAAATAACTTGAATTTGAAAAGAATGGATTATAATTTCGCTATCATTTGTGAAATATTAAAGATTTATAAATATGCCAACGAAGACCTCTGAAGTGTGTCGAAGTTAGGCATATTATGCAATATTTGGAGTTGACAGTAGATTTTAATTATTTTCAAAATGCCTTCCATATGTTCATATTAAGATCGTATTAATTTAAAAGGTGTCCAATAAACTTAGACCGGTATCGATGCCCATTGAAAGATAAATCGCGATATGAAAGCATGCTGGCTCAGCAAGGAGGTATGAAGTGAAATATGGCTATCTTTAAAAATATTTGTTGCATTATGCGTAAGCAGATGTATCAATGTCCTCAACAACTGGTCACTTAACAAATCCATTAAATGCACCGTGACGTGAATGAGACCGAACTCCCATTGTCGTAAAGTACAAACAGATATCTACCTATACTGTTGGAAAGAGTTTTCTCTTCGGTGTGTCTACTGTCCTTGACGGTGGCTTGCAATCGGGGATTATAATGGCAGCTTATGTGTGTATTCCACCTTTAAATCCTATTTTGAGATGAAATTAGCAAAATTTAGCAAAAGATTTTGCATATTGCTTAGGCGTATCTGATTGTTTTGTACTGTTGGAAAAATATCATATTCAGTCCTGTAAAAGCCTATATAATTACTCTAAGCATTTCAATCAAACGACTAAGCCTTTTAGAAGGTATAGTGACGGTGGCCATGGAAAGAAATGCATATTTTCTTGGAATAGCATACAAAATGGTGGGAAAATTTCCTGAATTTTGATTGGATTGAAGTGCATACGACAATACTATTGCGCAAAACTAATTGAAACCTCAGTAAAATTGCATTTGCTTAATAAAAAAGACCTGTACAATTCAACTTGTTCAACGTACTAAAATAATATTAGAAAGGTGAAATAGGCTTTATATGCCCATTGTAAATATGTTGTGTCCTCCTACAGCCTCCTAATGAAATCAGAGTAAAAGCAGCATAAATAAATCAATATTTAAAATTTATTTATTAGCCAGTAGTGGAATTAAAACAAATGTGTATAAATGACTTACAGGAGCGTAAACATTGAAAAATTTAATAATTTCATTTATTTTTGTATCACGCGGTATTCCTTCAACAAACACCCTCTTTCTATTCAAATCCGAATCTAAAAATGAATTATTATAAATAAAATAATAATATTAGTTAAACGATGCCTTATTTTATCAATTTTAAATTAAATTAATTAAGGATTTTAAAGGTAAAACGGTTCCTGTATAATTTAAATCGATGAAATTTTAAGTTTTCACATTTTTATTTAATTCATATCTAATATCTAGTTATGGTTTATGTTGATAGGCCAATATTGGATTGATTATAAGAATGGAAAAGCAGTGGTAGCTAACCATTTTGGTGAATTGCTACTGTGATGCCTTTGTTTTCCACAGCTCTGGCTGGTAAAGCCTCTTTGACTTCAATCTAAACTTCAAAGTAGTGCGATGAAATTCAAACTAATCACAAGCCTGATATCCTTTAAATGCAAAGTAGCGAATATTTCGAACTGATTCAGCTTCTTTTTCTGTTTTGAATTCGATGAACCCATAATCTTAGCGAAGAAAAAACACATTAAAATGTGATAAATGTGTTCACCAAATTTGTTCAAACATACTTTGAAATGCTCCAGTTCCTTTGTCGTAAATCAAATGACAATGTTTAACCTGTTCAAACGAATTTGAATAAGTTAAAAATATTATAATTTATTACTTAAGTCTTAGTATTATATCGACACAGATTAACTTATACATTAAAAAACCTTTGATCCAGCATTTTTCCGTTACCTCTAAATGGATTTTTTGGAAAAACAATCAATGCTTTCCTTTAAATGAAATATTTATTGTAGAGTTACATATATACGTGTGTTTACTTGATGGTTCACAAATAAGATCAAATTAATTTTTTCACTATAAACTGAACTAAAATTTTTTCCACGAAGAATTCGAAACATGAAACATACTTGCGAGAACATTAGGAGAAATCTTTGTGGAACTTGTCAAGGGTCGCTGCATTAAACAAGGCAAAATTGTTATTCTGCCTCATTCTCATTCTGATTGAAATTCACTGCGTTTCTCAGTGATGGAAACTTTAAGATATGATATGATTTTTATTCTCATAGTAACTACTGTGCCACAGTGGCACACAACACCGGGAATTTGGCAATATCAAGAGGTCTATTGTCATTTAACAATTTTTGACTTCCGTTTATACTATTACTGCGTCACAATAACAATCATGCGATATATATATATATATATATATATATATATATTCAACTTCCAATACTGGTATAAACGGTGTTTAAACATCAGGGAATCAGTTCTACGAATTATTGGCTATTTTGTATCCCATCTCAAATTCATCACGCAGTAAACCACCAAGCAATGCGTTTTTGTCTATGGACTACTTATATAATCATGAAAAGTAATGCACATTAAATCGCCTTCAGTTTCAATCTCGTCTCCTAACGTGGTAGCTCTAATGCAATAGTGGTCTTCCACACACCTCATATTTAACAATTAGTAGTTTTATACTGTGAGTATCTAGTTTAACTTCACTGAACAAAGGAAAAAAACTAATGAATAGACGGGTTTTGTCTAGATAGATTCTTTGTTGAGATTCCTTTAATTTTAATTAGTTAACTTATGTTTGCCACGGAATATTGTTTAATATCCGAAGTAGCATTTTTAATGCCCAATTTAACAAACAGAAACAGAAAACATGAATAAAATCGGTCTAATGTAAATCGCAATCTAAAAATTAGGAAGGAGAGTATCTAGAGTCTATTTGGGTGTCATCTCAGTTGCGGGACACGTCATCGCTTAACACATCAACGCATGCCTGCACGCCAGGTTTGGGAGGTGCGACTGTACAAACAGTGACCAATCATTAACCTCTGTTTGTTTAACCTAATCCGCCATCCTGATCATGATTAAGCTTCCTGCGTGTACACATTATCCGCAATATAAGTCCTGAGTAAACGTGCTCCGTGCTACACATAATATGCTCACTGAATAGACGTGCTCCGTGCTACACGTCTGATACCCGTACTGAAAAAACGTGCTCCGTGCTACACGTCTGAATCCGTACTGAATAAGCGTGCTCCGTGCTACACGTCTGTTTTCCCGTATCGAATAAACGTATTCCTTGCTACACGTCTGTTTTCCGCTACTGAATAAATGTTCCGTGCTACACGTCTGTATCCTCTGTAGAATAAACGTGCTCCGTGCTAAACATCTGTTTCCTTTATATGCAATATACGTACCGAATAAACGCATTTCGTGCTACACATCTGTTTCCTTTATAACTGGGCTATAGCTTAGCTGGTTCTGGGAGTCTAGCTAGATGTAAGAGTCGGTCAGGCTTTACTAAGGTAGCAATCCTCTACACAGTAAAAGCTGTAATCAGTCGACAAACATAACTGATACTTTATTTCTGCGACGCAAATCTGGAAATCTGTTTGCAATTTCAATAATTATTTTATAAATTAAGTTCAAAATGCATTAAAATTTTTGACAATTTATTGAAACTTACCCTGCCGAATTGATTAAAAAATTGAGAGAGATTAAAGACACTGGTGGTTTCAGGCAATCCGGTAACTTGAACCTTCCTTTTAAAGGCGAGCGATTCAATGCCAACAATCTCACGCTTGGGCTCTTTTGTACCTTTAGGACTTTCTAGAATACCTTTCATAGGAAGATGCCTTCAAAATTGCCTTAACTCTATAGTAGTAAATTGATCAAAATCTGTCGAAAGAAAACTTACAATCTGTGCGTATGTAATGTCCTTAGATTACTTTTGTGGGTATATAAGATGAAATTACAAAATAACTTCACTTTGGAATAAAATTAACTTTTTAAAGCGTGATCACTATTCTTGAGTTATGATTCAGCAGTTTTTAACGCTTTCAAAGATATATAAAAGTCGTTTAGGACTGAGTTTAAAATTGTTTGAGATATATCTTTACTTCAAAAAGATATATCTACAGTGCTTTATTTAGTTGTTGATGAAGATATTCATTTCAATCTTGAAATTAACAAAGAGGAAAGAATTGTCTGCCATAATATTCAATGCTTTCTAAAATGGTAATTGTTCATGTTTGTGCCAGTTAACAAGGATACTACCCTCGAAAACCCCGCTTCTAAGGTACAAGGATACTAACATAGAAAAAACCGATTCACATGGTACAAGGATATTACCCTATAAAAAACCAATGAGTTCACAATCTCGGAATGACGTTTGACACAAAGCTAACGTGGAAAAGTAACCGGAATGACGTTTGACACAAAGCTAACGTGGAAAAGTCACGTTGATACTAGCATAGAAAAAACCAATGAGTTCACATATCTCTTAGGACGTTTGACACAAAGCTAACGTGGAAAAGTCACATTGCTCAAACCATAGAAAAAACCAATGAGTTCACATATCTCGGAATGAATTTTGACACAAAGCTAACGTGGAAAAGCCACATTGCTAAACTCCAGAACGATCTCCAATAGACTGAATGTCCTGAAGCGTCTTGCTGGTAGCTCCAATAGACTGAATGTACTGAAGTGTCTTGCTGGTAGCATAACGTGGAAAAGTCACATTGCTAAAATAGCAGAATGAGTCGCTAATGGAAAAGTCACATTGCTAAAATAGCAGAACGAGTCTCCACTATTCACATATCTCAGAATGACTTTTGACACAAAGCTAACGGCTAAAAGTCACATTGCTAAAATAGCAGAAAGAGCTAACGTGGAAAAGTCACATTGCTAAAATAGCAGAACGATTCTAACATGGAAAAGTTACGTTGTTAAAATAGCAGAACGAGTCTCCAATAGACTGAATGTACTGAAGCGTCTTGCTGGTAGCGTATGGGGCTGGGCACGCTCAACTCTTACAAGATGCTCATTCAACCAATAATGTTGTATTGCTGTGAGCCACTCAATACAGCCACAGGGGTGACTCTTAAACCACTCGAAAAGGCACACAACCAAGCCTTACGACTAATTACCGGAGGGATAAAGTCAATACTCATTGATACAATGCTCCTCGTTACAGGAAGCACCAAAATATGT